CAACCGGAGATCTGCAGGTCCGAGTGGACGAGCCTGGGCCAGACTCTCTCCCTGCACAGGTAGGACTATCACCTTCATGCTGTATCACATCTGGCTCTATTCGGAGCTCCCCAATTCTTCCTGATCCAATATTCCATTTTCAAGAGCCATATGTTGGCAAGTACTGTTTGGCACCACTGTTCAGTTCTTGGTGACAAAATTCAATTTACTGAGAGCTTGCAAAAGCATATTATTCTAATCTTTGTGTGAAATGCTTATAAGATTTGTAATACAACTTTCCAAAGGATTATTTCTGCTTCTTATTTGACAGGCTTTTTTGAAAGTTTTAAAATAAGAGAACAATGAAATAAGAAAAGGCAAAGCACCCCCTCTATTCTTTTGTTCTTAAGACATTAGAGGCATGCACTGATGAAAAACATACCCAACTTGGTGATTTTGAGAGCTGACTAAGTGTTTCATTAGAAGTTATTTAAAGATAAATTTCAGCAGTGCGACTAGCGCCAGACATTCAATAAACTATTTGCAGCTTGGAAGGCTTCTGTGCCAAGGATGAAATGACATGGGTGAAGATATGAAAAGAAAAAACCCCTTCAAACAAGCAATGAATGGCTGTATTCATTACATTTAGGTTGCACCTTGTTCAAGATCAGCATTAAAGGGACTGCTAAAGTACTTTTTGTTTGGAAGTTGTGGAAGTTGTGGAAGTTGTGCCAAGTTCCTGGACGGTCACTGCATGCTGGAGTTGATGAATCGTGGATAAATTATGCAGCAAAGGAAACATTCAATGGCTAATTTTAGATGCCCCATCGCTGCTTTTGTTATGTAACTGGCTGGTGGTCGCATGCACCATAACTGAAAAACACACACACAGGCATTCAGTTCCCTGAGAAGCTCCACTTTTGCCAGATTGTGGGGTTAATTTAACCTCTTGGATCCAAACTCTGGATAATCACGCCCTCCTCATGACTCTTGTTTATTATGAATACATCGTGAACTTTAATCTTTTTGCACGGATTGACCACACCAAAACTTGAAGTGCTGTAAAGCTTCATGCAGAGTTTGCGTGTTCTGCGGGTCTATAGCCTATGTGTGTGAGCGTTGCTATAATGTCCATCTGCACATGGAGTTAAAATCCAGACTGTGTGGTTTCCCTCTGGAATCCTGCACAACAACAAAAAAATACGGGGGGGAAAGAGAAAAAGCTTGACTTGCAAGTTTACTCTGATTACAAAGTGCGAGAGTCCCTTTTGCTTCAATTTCTGCTGTTTCAGCTTGCCGCAGTTAGGTTTAAGTGGAACACTTTGTAGTAGGAGGAAGGAGAGTGAGAGAAGGAGTGTGTGTGTGTGTGTGTGTGTGTGTGTGTGTGTGTGTGTGTGTGTGTGTGTGTGTGTGTGTGTGTTTGTGTGTGTGTGTTAGGGTTAGGGTTAACTGCAGATGTGTCTGGCACCAATACAAAGCCTTGTAGCTGGTTGGTTAGCGGAGACAGTGTGCATGTTTTTGTGTTTGTGTGTGTGAACTCTGTTGAACATCTCATGACAGTTTTGGTTCTCCCTCATTTTAATGAAGCAGTTTGCAAAGCACTCGAGGTTTTTGATAGAAAAGCATAAAAATAACGAGAGTAAAATATGACATAAAGTAAAAAATACATGTAGTAAAATGGCCCGAAATGTATAAACCTGACACATTTGGGCTCTACAGTAACCCCGTTTTTATGATGCAGCTGAGGTTTTCATAGTTCGCCGTTTCAGAACATGATTAGACCAAGCCAAGAAACACGGGGGAGACCACACTGATGCCTGCATAACGTCAGCTGAAAACTGGCCGGTTGTCACAAGCACACACACGGGAGTATGGACTCTGACACGCGTGTGTACATGGGATGGTGACCTCTTCCAAGGGTTGAAGCTGCTATTCTTGTAGTTTGGATTCCAGAGAATGGGAGAAAAGCACCACCTCCGACCCTCTCTGAAAAAAATCAAAGTGTCATTTACTAAGCTTTTTCCCCTCTCTGCTCTCCTTTCCTGCAGACCTGATTGCGTCTGGTTTCAATTAGGCTCTCAGGGGTGTGTGAGGCATTTCTCTGTCGCTTGTTCTCCCCACAGTTCGTCTGTCTGTGTCGATTCATCCTCCTCTATACTTGTGGTTAGACTTTTCCCCTCTTCTTCTCTTTACATTCTCACAGACTGTGCTGTCATTCTTTCCTTGTGTTCCTTCTCTTTGTTACAGCTGGATGTATGTTAACATGGTAACAAGCCTCAGACCTGTGGGCATGCATGCACACCCACACAAAGGGAACCAAAGACAAATAAAGTCAGGAAAGCTTTCTGGGAGGTTGGCTCGCAGAGGAAGAAACCCTTACCTTTTAGCTTTCTCCATCTCACCCTCCAACTCTGTCTCTGTAATGAACTGCCTCACTGACTGACTCTCTGAATTGTTAGCATTCTTCTACTAGTAGCTAAGCTTCGTTCTTGTTTTTGAAGCCTCTCCTGCTTGTTCTCGCTCCCCCTCTTTAACACAGTGGCCCCTTGTGTTTCTGAACTGTTTCCTCAGGAGGTCTGACCTTCTTCCATCCCAAGTTGCCAGTCCAACGTTACTTGCGCATGGAGAGCCTCTACAGGCAGCCATTGCAGGTAGCTATTTGTATGACTTGCTCACTCCCCAGTCTGAGATAAGGTTGCAAATTGTCATTTAAAAGCGATTTTATAAGATACGCAAGGAAATGGCTACACAGTAAGATCAAAACAATGAGCTGAAAGGAACTTAAATGCACCGTAAAGCCTAGGGGATTTACAGTGTGCTGTTTCTTTGTTGTTCCTAATGGGGGGGCCACTTTCATACTTCGCTTGTTGTGTGAGGTTTCCCTCCGTCGTTTGTTTGATATACAATTATTTATTGGAGCAGTTTCAAGCCATGTGTTTTGGCTCGATTATGTAATGCCCCTGTATTGTGTCTTTAGGACAGTTCATCTTTTGGTGCAAGCCTGCCAAGCTCAACCTAGTTCAGGTTTTGAGTTCACACCGATAGGAACCAGTCATTGAAGTTACAATGACTGCATTTTTGGTAGTTCCAGAGTTCCACAAATGATATGACACTATGACACTATATTAATATATTTGATCTCTCTATATTATCAGGACAAAAGGCCCTTCAAGAAGAAAGGCCTATCTTGGAAAATGGTTCCCAATCGAGTGGAAATCCCATGCTAGCTTAGCTTCTGCCGTGAATGTTGTCTTTAGGGCTTCCCTTGTGTTCACTTTCTCCTTGAGGGGTTATTTTCATTCTAAGTTGTGGTTTTCAAATAAGTGTGCTTCCTCCATCTGTATTTCTCTTAATGTCTTGCAATGTTTTCTCCCACCCCCTCTTCCTGGTGGGTTGGGATGGTGTTAGAGGCCAACTGTCTTTGTTTCCATCGGTCTGCAGAGACCAAATGAACCATTTGAGCACACAGACAGTTCTGAAAACATACACAGACAGGGCTTTCCTTTGTAATGTATCTCACTGTGTACATCTGCATAAACATACAGTTTTATGTGTGTGCCATCTGGAAGTTAACTCCGCTTCATTCACACTCATAACATCCGCCAGGGAGGGTATGTTTTCGGTTTTGGATTGTTGTTCTTCTGCAGGACTCCGGAAAGCTAACGCTCCTAACTTGGTGGAAGGGTGTAGAAAGGGTCAAGGAAGAACTCACTGAAGTTTGGAGCAGATCCGGATCAAGGGCCAGACACACGTTGTTTTTCAATCATTAAAAAGACATTGACAGAAGTCTGCTTTCGATGAATAGTTAGCCTTATTATTTGTGCTTTGATCCTTGGTCCTTTGGCAAAGCGGTGTTTGTAACTTCCTCTTGCCTTGGCCAATGTCACCACTCGCATCCTGCCAAACAACCGGGTTTAATTTACTTCTTTCTGGAACACTACCCTGCATTATGTGTATGAAATGTATGTGGTGTTCTACTGTAAATCTTAAACTAACGCCATTAAGAGGAGTTCAAAATACAACATTGTGTAAAGACTGCGAGAAAATAAGTAGTTTAATTTCAAAATAAGGTGCAGTGAAACTTGTAAAGCAGGAGACACATGAAGTTCAGTTGGAGATAAGTTTTCTTTCCATGCACAATTTTGCCCAAAACAAATTCCCCACAGGGTAACACCTAAGCATTTATTCAGTGCTCTGTTATGATAGAGAGCACACTTAAGCTGAGTACTTGCTATCCCGTAAGTGTCTAAAAGACTGACTCGTAAATTGTTTTGGTTTGAAAAGATTTAACACAAATTCCCACATTGAATATTCCACTTGCTCAGCACTTTCAGATACAAAGAACAGTAAGAGTGTGTTTGGTGCACGCCAGTAATTCCATCTCTATCATAGCTGATGGCATTGTCATACACACACTACAGTTTTGTCTGATAGGGTTTACTTGCTGCACTGATTGTGGTCTCTCTATGAAATCCACCTGACGTGGAGCCAGTCATTCAAAAGAAAAACATACATTTTCTCATAATTAGCAGCACCCAATATAAGAGCCAAACAACATACTGTTAACAGACTCACCCTGAGGCTTTTACTCTTAGCATCAATAAACTGTGAACAGACTGAGAAACCTCTCAGCCAAATACAGCACTACATAAAGTGCTGAAGGCTAGACTAAGATTGATGAGATGACCACTTGTTAGAACGGGGTACAAAAATACTGGACTCAAATGCAACGACTGTGGTACTCTCCTCTCTGGTGTCCGCTGGGTCTCTGGACATATGAAGCACACTGAAACAAAACGAACTGGCACAAGACAAAGGGAGACAAGGACTATTTAAACATGAGGGAATTGGGAACAGGTGGAAACAATCAGGGGCGGGGCAGATGCTGACGATGGCGGGAAAACACCCAAAGTGAGGAAGTAACAAGGTCTGAAAAGAAAGACAAGAGGTAAGTACAAAATAAAACAGGAAATGGGAAAACGAGACATGACATGAAACATGGGGACTTGACTAGAGATGAC